TTCTCCACCCCGCACAACATGATCTACTCGACCACCATTATGGTTACAGCAAAAAAAAAAAAACTGAGGTAAAAAAAAAACGGTAACCTGGTTGCCGAGTTACGAAGTGAATTGGCTTGGNCGCGCGGAGTAAGGCTTCTCCACCCCGCTCAACATGATCTACTCGACCACCATTATGGTTACAGCAAAAAAAAAAAAACTGAGGTAAAAAAAAAACGGTAACCTGGTTGCCGAGTTACGAAGTGAATTGGCTTGTTTTACAACGTCGTTGCCAAGCGACGAAAACCCAATCCCGATGGCAAACACCGATGGGGGTGGCTTGTTTAACAACGTCGTTGCTAAGCGCGAAAACCCAACCCCGATGGCAAACACACCGGGGGGAGAAAGATGGGAAGGGTTAAAGCACACTAAGGGGCACTTTTGAATGGGTCTGCCGGCCCGAGGCTCGTTGTTTTTTTATGGAGCAACCCAACATCGCCTTACCACGTACACCAATCATCACGAGACGCTTGCTTGCGTACTATTATAACGCACCAACACTGCTGCTCCTGCTGCAGGCTGTGCGCGATTCTTGTTTTGCTCGAAAGACTGATGAAGCACACCCGACCAATAATGTTTACAGCAGTATTTGTCGCCGACCGCCAACAAGCCGACGAAGTACACGTAGGAAGGGCACGTTGTCTTGTGTTTGTACCTCTTCGTGCGTACCATTCGAACTCAAATCCGTCAAACCGACATGTCATGCATGAAACAACAGAGGTTAAACGAGCTCAGACAGGCCAAGGCGCAGCCGGACCTGAAGCTCCGGCTTTCAGTGGAGGGCGGGGGGTGCTCGGGGTTTCAGTACAAGTTCTCCTTGGAAGACGCGGCGGGGGCAGGTGCGGGGGGGTCAGAGGGCGCCGAGAAAGATGGGGACGACGACGATGACAGTGACGACGAGGACGAGAGCGACGTCGACCAGTGAGTCCTGCCGTAGAGACCAGAAGAGGAGTCCTGCAGTAGAGACCAGAAAAGGGAGGGATGCTGTTGCGTGCTTTGAGAGAAGGCTTATGTACCTTCCCACGCGCGGTTGCGGCAAGTGTCTCTATATATCAGCCATGCTGGCTTCCTGTTGTTTCGGCGTGTTGGTAGGTATCTCTCCAGATTCGACGAATCCGTTCGTCTCATTTTCAGCCTTGTCAGCGATCGCCTCGGGCTACAGAGCTGTTACATGTTCCACCACCCAGAAATACGCGTTCCGCCATAAGTGCGTGGCCCCCAGGCCCCTATCATGTTGCCTTGCTTCATGTAGCGCTATGCACGCCAAGAACATGTCTGGCCTGATGATGACGTGATCGATGCTCCTGGTCGCTCCATTGCGGTGGGATACGTAGGACCACACGAGTCTATACAGCAGTGTGCATTGATTCCGAAACGGGGGAAGAGAGATCCGCAGCCTTCCGCCTCCACCTATCGGGTGGCGATCGTAGCCCCCTTCGTCCCTTGGTTTTTTTTTTCTCCTTTACTCGGTTGACGTGACACTTGCTTGCTCTCTCTCCCGCTCTGTCTCCACCTATTCGCTCCCCTGTCGCTGTCGCTGCCCCCCCCCTCCCCCTCCCCTCGCTTCTCGCTGTCTCCTCCTCTTACCCACTGTTATCTCCTCCTTCGCCCCACCTCTCGGTGCGATAACCGACATTGGCCACCTCGTATGCCATCACATTCACACAGCGAATTTGAACGGGATGGGGCCGTGCTGGTTGTAGACGCCACCTCGCTCGAGTTCGTCAAAGGCGCAACGGTAAGCCAGCACCCAGGACGCGTTTGTCGGGTGGCTCGGTAACGCTGGGAGTGCCTTAATGCAAGACGCATCAGTGCCTTAGAGGCAAGAAAGCGTTGTGGTGTTGTCTCTCAACGAAGATACTGGACAGTAATACCCCTCCCCTGCTGTCATGGTCGAACTACCAAGGTATACAGGTACATGATCGTGAGTAAACCTCGACACACCCACCTCGCATTTCTAGTGGCCATAATGTTTGCCGTCGCTTTCCATGCTTTCGTGGTGCCTCGGGTACATCTCGGCAGGATTATTCTGGGGGCGGGGGATGGGGTTACTCGGCATCTGTTACTCGAGCTTTTACCATTTTTTACTTGCACGAATAAGCTGTTTGCTGCTGGCTGGTTCTACTGAAAGCTGCAAGCATCTTCAGGTATTTTTCGTTCATTTTTTGTTTGTAATTGTTTGCATCACCACGTTGTTGGTTTGAGGTGGGTCTCTGCAGACGAACAGCTTCGTCTTCGTGTCCCACCCTCCTACCCACCCGCCGCAGTGGTAGACCTCAGACGATGCTGTAGTTCCTCAGACACTGTAGCTATTGTGTCCTCGCGATTGTCGACCGCGTGTTTGTGTGCTGTGCTGGAAGGCCTCGCCTCTAAGCCCTGTGAGAACATTCACCAACAGGGCTGACCTCAACGTTGCAGACGAGTAAACTCACACAAGTTTCGAGCTCAAAGCCCATCCCGTCCCCACCCCTCCCTCCTTGACCCATCGACGCTCGGCATGAAAAACGAAAACCTTGTACACGTAAAAATGACAGGTGGACTTTGAGGAAGACATGATGCGAAGCGCGTTCGCCGTGCTCAACAACCCGGTGTCGGAGAGCGCGTGCGGGTGCGGCAGCTCCTTCGCCCTCAAGAATTTCGAGAAGAACCCCGCACTCGACTGAACGACTCCGCCGTCAGCGGCTCTTGCTTTACCCCCGCCATGGCCTTCTACCCCGACCGCGGCAATAGAGGGAGGCTGTCCATCGTTGATCTTTTAGTCGCTCTGGTTCGTCAGTGTCCATACTTGTACGAAGACGCCGCTGGTGTGAGGCCGGTTGTGGATTGAACACGCACGTGCTGTTTGCTTGGGCTTCGTGCCTAGCCAACCAGAAGGCTAAGGACTCCAGTCGTAGCGGAAACGACCGCCACCCTGAGCTGGCTGGCGACACGACACCGCAGCAGCCGATTTTGTTTGGCATGTATTTAGAACAAAAACGACGAGCTTTCTGTGCGAACGCTGCGCGTCTGTCCTGGAGGTCGTTTGTGGTTGCGTCTCGGGAGGCCGAAGCCCCCCCTCCCCCTTCTTTTTTGTGACTCGAGATTTTGTCCGGCGCATGCTTGTGTAATGTTCGGTTTGTGCTTTTCTCTTGCTCAGGTGTGACTTGTGTTTCATGTTGTTCGGACGGCCGCAGCACGAATTGGGAAGGAGGTCGTTTTCAGCACAGAGTCTACTGCGTATTGCGTACGACATGGACAAGACTCATACACGCTGTGTGCAGGTTCCGAAATGGTTTTATGTGTGTGTGGATGACAGGTGTAGAAGTGCTGTAACCATTGTTGTTGCACATACAAAAGTAGGACCAAGACACGATCTGAACGGAGTATCTTACTGATGGTTGATCAGCAAGCGACCCGACTATGGATGCGTCCCTCTCAACCCCACCTGTGGAGCTTGGGAATCCGAGACCCTCGGGCTTGGTCTCCCTCGCCCCTTCGGCGGGACTCTCTCTTTTGTCTCCCTCTTCTGAGACCCTCTCCTCTCTAATTCTCAACGAAGAGAACTGCCAGTCCTTAGTAGTGGGTAAAGACTCCTGCGACCTGGGCCTCCCCCCAACGAGGGAAGCCTGTGTCCTTATGTGCGTCCAATATTGAGTGGGCGTGTTCTCTGTTGTGGGGCTTGGCCTTCTGCAAACAAACAGCGGGTGACGCACACGACCCTCTTACCAACTGCGGGGGCACCGTTTCTCTCTCGTCATTCCTCTTGCACGCAGCCATGTCTACGCGAACTCAAAACAAAGGTGGGCTGTTACAAGCAAAGGCAGACGTTATTTTCAACAACCAATGTCGCTATTTTGCGAACGTGCGCGGCTTTGTCCAAGTCTCCTGACACCTTCGACATGCATACTAACGCACCCATCCCGTTCGGCTGATGACACCACACGCCATGATAGTCGCGTGTGTTGGCCTTGTGAAGACACTTGGGTCCCGATTCGTCTTCTCGAACTTTTTAATTTGTCACCCTGGGATTCGCCTTACCAAATCCAAATCTTTAGAGGATGCGCTTAGACTCCACGGCGCTTGAAAACTGCCAGCACAGGGTGCTGGTGAGCGCGGGCGAGCACCGCTCACTCTGACAGACGACTGCCGACGTACTCGACCCACTCGTTTCAATCCCAGCTCTACACGTGAATAGGTGCGCGTCCCAGCAGCTGAAACGCAGACACACGTTCGGTGGCATACTTCATGTCCTCCTTAAGCGTTGTCCGCGGAGGTTGCAACTTCCGACTGCGGCGGCGATCGTGCTGGGGTCGTGGTAGTGGTTGTTGGAGGAAGGAGATGACTGAGGAAGCCCGAGGTCTTGACGATCAACGCAGTTATGTCGTCCGAGCCGCCTTCTGTTGCGGTCGCCCATTCGGACAGGGATCTGCGGCAGATGTCCGCGCTAAGCGCCTGAGGGCACCAGGAGTCGTCGACCGTGTGAGCTTCTGCAGCCTGGACACGTCCGTTGGCATGCGTGGAGTTTGACGGTCATCATGAAATTAATCGGGGTGTGTTCGTGCTTTTTCATTCATGACATCGAAAAGGCACCTATTTATTCTCCGGATCCGCCGCAAATCGATCCATGTTTCGATCCGTGCGTGCGTCCGGACTCATATTGCAACCTGTAACGTTTTCCCCCCTGAGAAAACAGATAGTGAGCAACTCGTTTACTGTTCGGCGTACTCTCAGGGGTTTGAATGCCCGCACCTTGCGGATGTCTTCCGCGCTCAAAACATCCCAAACCCCGTCGGAGGCGAAAACGAGCATCACGTCGCTCCGTGGGTCTAGGTCGAACTCGGTTATCTCGGGTTCGTAAGTCACGCCCACGCTGTGGGCCATCTGGCAGAGTCGGAATGAGACGGAGGAAACAGTAGCAAGCACGACAGGGTTGATTCGTGCACTGTTCTGGAACTGTGTAGTATGGAGCAGCCTCGTAAACCTGAGAGCATACTACATGACAACACATCATACCCACCGGTGACGGGTGGCCCTCCAATCTGTTCGGAGCGAACCTCACGTGGACTGTCTCCGGAGTTACAGTTACTCCCGCAACAACAGAGCACCAATCGACAGGATCCTTTGATGACAAACAAGCGAAACGTGGCCAAACGCGAGCAGGTAGGTCCTACAACACGACAGCACCGCCATGAGAGTGCCGTTCTAGAATCTTGAGAAACTAGGGGCGTGTCCTCGCCTTGTCGCCAATGGACCTGCTCATCGCTAGCCCAGGACCGTCGCCGCTTGCGGTCCACACCCTCGGGATCCCCGCTGCAATCCCTCTTGCTGCCGTAATTAACCCTTTCTTCGGGCCTTCCGCCGTTGGCGGAGCCCCTCCGGTGACACCACCTGCCCCCGAACCGGCGCCACTGCCACTCCTGGGGAGAGGGAAAACAATCCCGCCGGCGGCCCGGATCCTCTCCAGCTCGCCCTTGCTCTCTGGCTTGTGGTCGCGCGACAGCCGCTCCGTGACCAGCCCCCCGCCCCGACTGCCTCCTCCCGGTGCCGCTTCTTCACCAGCAGCCGCACCCGCAATCAACTTCTCCGCCGTTCTCAACCTCCTCCTGTTGCTCGTGCCGCCGCCCCTTGCGCCCCCGGCTATGTCTACGGCATCAGGCGTGCCACGATCACTCGCAAGCGCGGCTTTGCCGGGAATAGCGGCGGGGGCGGCGCCGGGCGAGGGAGAAGAACCGCTGCTTGCGGCAGCGGTACTGCGTGATAGACGCACGCAACCGGAATCTCCGACGTTCGCGACCGTGAGCCTTCGCCCCGTGAGGACTGCCGCGCACAGAGTCGTCCCGCTACGACCGCAGTCGCCGGCAACCCCGGTGGCTAGATCGTGATGCAAACGTTGGCAGCTTCGCCTGAGTCGATTTCGTCGGGTTGGGGGGGGGGGGGGGG